GGGGGCTAGTGGACCGAAAAATCTCGACGGATGTTCTTTTCTCTGGGGCTTATTACATTCAATTTCTCGAAATTGAAAAAGTCGTCGGAGCTCTAACATGTGTCCCCCCATATTCGATTCTCCCCGCTCGCCATCTTGCTCTCAGGAGGATCCGGTAAATATGCTATCAAAAAGCATGTGGGCGGGATCGGCTCTTTTGTGTCATCTTGGCAGGTGCTGTCAGTTCTCTTACTTAACTGGGAGCCGGCGGAAAACCGTCAAACATGTTCTTTGCGGTCTTTGCGGTCGACTGCGCAGGATTTCCAGCCTAGTCGGAAGCAAGGGGGCGGACGCAACGGGAGCAGGCGGAGCCTCGCCGATCCAAACGATCAGGAAGACGGAAGCCTAAGCTCTTATGAGGGTGCGAAGTCAAGCACGCACGCACGACACACACAGGCACGGCACGAGTGAGCAACAATCACTTATTCACATCATCTCAAATCCGAAATACGCTTGTTGTACAACCCGCGGCAAGATAGTAATCGTATGCTCAACGGCCGAGATCTCGGCATCTGGCACCGTCGAAGTTGGGTCAATCGAGAACGCCGCACTATACACCTCTGTCCAATTGATATCATGGCTGAGTGGTTGCCTTGAGAGTCTCGATACATGTCCAACATCAATCCAGCACCCGACTCCCACGCCGTCGCAAGAGACGCCACCATCGAATCCAGCTATGATGGCACACGCGCGAAACACCTGATCTAACTGTGAGGCGTAAGGCCCTATCCTATCCCGATACACTGGTGGCCCACCGCGGGCCGTGTGAGTGAGTACATCTGCACCCATGTTCCATTCCCTGTATGTGTGGTCAACGATTTCCCTCCCGTGGGAGGCTGGTCTTATACCGAATTTAAAACACATGTTATCCAATTGGTTAATCATTCTGCTTCATCCTATCCTGAGAAGCACGATTGAGCACCCTCCAGACACCCTGAAGCCAAGACACCACCAGCAGACTGCCCCCAGAGATGTAAACCGGGACCCTCGTAGAGCTCTTGAGAAAGTCTACTTCAATATTAGATACAAACTCGAGGAATAGATTTTCTCGGTACTAGAGGAAGTTGACGCCAAGTATTTTTCACAGCTACAGACGCAAGAATTCGACAGTCTGGCGCGCCATGAGCCAATACTGCTGCAGATAAAGCCACAGCTATGTAGCTTGCTTCTGCCTTGAGTTAAGTTGAGAAAACCAGTGCCATATGGAAAAATGCGTCTCGGCGGCCGACGGTTCCTCCAAATGTTCCAGAACTGCGCTGCAGCTACGGCCCTGAGACTTCCAGCACTGAACGCGCCATAATCCACTACAGAGATAGAAATCGGTGTTTCTAGAACGAATGTTCAAACCTTCCCTATCTCTGAAAAACAGCCCCCAGGTTACCACATTGTCCGCCCGAGCCGGGTGGGCCAATCGGCCAACTGGAAGCCGGCGGTAAACCGTTAACCAAGTTTTTTTTTGCTGCGGTTTTGCGGTCTCGCTAACCAGGCCCCCATGGGGCAGCAAGCAGACTCCAACGAGCCAGGAAAACGACCTTCAAGTACAAGCGACCTTCTTAAGGAACATGTATGTACAAAGCAAATTAGATCACATACAAGCGACCTGCTTTGAGGCAACTGGACTGTCGATCAGAGCAACGCGTGACCTACCTTGAGGCACCAAGTAACAAGTCATAACGATTGAAACTAGCTTGCTCAATGTCTCAGGAAGCGCAAAATTGCATAAATGCATCGAAAGGCCTAAAATATCTCAATGTTCCACCGCAATGATCTCTCCGAGACTCTTTTCCGGAGGGAGTCTTTGGTTTCACATACTGTACACTGTGCACTTGTTCTGAGCCTCAAGCCAGTGCCTTTCTTCAACTGATTGTCTTCTCTGCGTGGACCCCCTTGGATTTCATGTTCGAGTGAGTGGTCTCAGAAAAGTCACGGCGCGCATTTCTCTTACAATTCTCATGCTTCCCATAATCAGTTCCCTGTTTTAGTTCCCAAATCCAGCAGTTGAAAACGCAAAGGCTAGAAAGAGATAACTGGAGGCGATCCGTGGGTTATTCGCGGAAGCGTCTCATCTTGAGTTCTCTCGCGGGTGCATTTCGCTACAATTGTAGCGGTGACGCGAGGTTACGTCTGATCGTGTCTCCTATCAATTCATCCAAACTGGGAGTAGGCGGTAAACCGTCAATCAGGTCTTTTTTCTGCGGTCATTGCGAGGTCCGCATTGGCCACTGAGGCCAGGACCAGGAAAGTCAGGCGCAGAGTCAAACAGCACGGACTCCCCAAACAGGAGTGCGAAGCACAGTGAATACAGCATGAGGCACAATCAACGTACAGCGAAGCTGTCAGATTGAAAAACAACCAAGTGCATGATCACGCATAGAAGAAGTGCGTACCCACACGAGGCAATCACGCAACAGAGACAACAAACAAGGACGGATCACACGTGCAGCAAACAAGACACAAGCAACACACAAGTGCAAGTTGGAAGAATGCGCGAACAATCTGCGGAGACAAATCCCAAATATCCCTGACCAGAAAGCGGAACACTAACCGCGAGGTGCAAGTGAGCCGAATACTGCCATAGTCAAGGACAACCCAGCTGAGCACCATATCAGAGGGCTCCGAGGTGTTCAACCCTCGAGCAGTTACGAAACTGATAAGGCGAAAACAATAGTACGACATGAGAGCCAGGAGACCTGGCCAAGAACTGAACATGCACACACTGAAATACAACACGTAGAACATGCACACACTGGGAGCCTCGTAGAGCTCTTTTCTCGCGCGGAGGTGCTCAGAACACATGGAGGGAGCTTTCTCAAGCGTAAGCTAGAAAACTCGGACAAACACGTTTTTCGGTTTTCATCCAAAGTCGGTTCCTCCAAATGTTTTGACAATAATCCTGCAGCTACGGACCTGAGAATTTCACTGGCGGACGCGGCATAACCCACTACGTGCGAAAAAAACCGGCTCCGAAACCGAATTTTCAAATCTTTCAGAATCTTCGGAAAACCGACCCCAGTTTGTCACATTGTCCGCCTGGGCCGGGTGCGCCAACTAGCTGCACCCCGCGCCGGAATTCCTCTAGCTCATCGATGTCGAAGAGCTCTACGAGGCACTGGGAGCCGGCAGTAAAATGTCAACAAGGTTACCGCTGGGAGCCTGGTAGGGCTCTTTTCCCGCGCGGCGCCGCTCGGAACACATGGAGGGAGCTTTTTCAAGCTTGAGCAGGAAAATCGAAAGAGCACGTGGTTTCATCTCAAGTTCGCTCCACCAAGTGATTTGATAGCAATACTACAGCTACAGACCTGGGAATTTGACAGGCAGACGCTGCAGAAACCACTACAGGTGCGAAAAATACCGGTTCTCAAAACGAATTTCAGAATATCTCAAAATATTCGAAAAACCGACCCCAGGTCACCACTTTGTCCGCCCGGGCCGGGTCGGCCAACTAGCTGCACCCCGTGCCAGAATTCCTCTTCGTTATCGATGAGCTAAAGAAATTCCGGCGCTGGGAGGAGCTAGTTGGACGACCAGGCCAGAAGAGAAGATGTGACGACTTTGGGCCGCTTTTGCTAAGATTTGAAAGATATTTAACAGTTCATTTTGAGACATCAGATTTTTACTCCCAGCATTAGTGTCTAAACTTTGTTCTGAGAGCATCTCAGCTCTCCCGAGGAAGTTTTACTGTCGGCTCACTTCCGGGAACCGACCTCATATTAACATAAGAAATTCAAAAAATGATGATCTTCAGAAAATATGTATTTGAGCTCTCTGCTCCGATTCTGACCGCTCTCGCGCGTGCAAGGAGCTCTACGAGGTTCCCGGCGGTAACAAGGTTGACGGTTCACTGCCAGCGCCAGGCGCCGGCGGTAAACTGTCAACCTGGCTACCGCCAGGGACCTCGTAGAGCTCCTCGAACGCTCGAGAGTGCTCGGGAAAGAAGCAGCGAGTTTCTGGAAGCATTTCTCAACAAAAAATCAAGAACTGGCGCCGGCGGTGAACCGTCAACCTGGTCACCGCAGGTCCCTGGCTTCGCTCAGGAGAATTTGTCGACGGAATGAGCTAAGAATTTGGGAGGTAACTTCTGTAATGCAAAGATTCGATCTGCGCAATTGGCAGCCCAAACGAATGGTTAGAATTGCAAAATCGGCTGGGCCAGGCCGCAGAAGGTATGGTCGCGTCCCTTTTCAAAATTTCGCCAACTAGCTCCACCCTGTCGCCGACTTCCTCTGCCTCTGTTACCATCAGAGCTCTCACCACAGTGTCCGCCCGGGGCGCGCACAAATCGACAACTCCCGGCAGTAAACTGGGAACCGGCGGTAAACCGTCAACCTGGTTTTTTGCGGTCTTTGCGATCGACTATGCGGGCCGTCAGGCCCAGTCGCAAGCAGGAAAACGGGCGGCATACAGAGTCAGGCAAGAATACCACAACTCTTTGAGCGAAAGTGGGCACATGCGAAACTCTTATTCCGAACAAAGTGAAAAGCACGCGGAACTCTTATACCAACATGCGCGCATGCCCGACACACACACAGCATGGCAAGAGTCAATGCAAACACAAAGTCCGAAGTATGTCGAAACCACAGAGGCACATCGATGATGCGACAGCCGACCGCATTACGATATCTCCATCAAAGAATGCAAGAGAATGGTGCGTACCCCAAACGAAGAGATTACGCCGAGGGAATCATAAAGAAGTCAAGAGCGACGTCATCGCCACATTTTCCTCCCGAGTCAACTTTCCACTCCGTTTCCTATGATAACTCACGTGCAAGAGATTGAAACGGCACTGGAGACGTTCGGGATCATTCAGATTGCGCCCGTCTTTCATCCACGTTCCCAGCAGGCCCCTCTGGGTCTCGTCGAAACGAAAAATCCTGTCAAGCGTAGCTTCACACTGCTCGTTCTGCAGATGTGTTTGTCAATGCTCCTCCAAAGCGGCCATGTAAACGCTTGAAATATCGCCATCACCTGGCGGCATTGGTGCGCTCGGAACCTGGCCAAAGAAAATCTTGCAGCACCTTCCCACACCTTCCAAAACCATTAGCCGAAATCCACTCCTTCATCCTCCTCCCCTCCCGCGGGAAGTCCCGCTCCATAGCAACAAACATATCATTCCAAAGGGCTATGATTCTGTTCAAGTCCGCACGACGGCCACTCGCGAGAAATCCTGAAGCACCCACGAGATTGTGACACATCAAGTCCAAAAACTTCGGCCCAGGCCCATCCCGTTCTTGCAGCGCATACAGAATCATACCACTGAAAACAGACCGCAGCTGGCCTGGATTCAGAAGACCAAGACGGGATAACTCCCACTGCAAATGACCCAGCGTGTCGGACTCGAACTCAGCATCCGACTCTTCCCGTTCCAGGCTCATGAATTCGGCCGCCAGTGCACCTGGCTCATCACGATCACACAGGAGCCGCGCAGTACCGCGGGCACGACCAGTGCACGGCCTCGGGAACGTGAGCGATTGACGCATTACTTCCGAAAAAACTTTCTCATTCGACTGACGCACTGTCTTGGAGACGCTCATCCGGACACGGACAGACGCATCATAACCAGGATTCGATACCTCATTAAGCGTGACGGGACGATTCAGACACCCCTGGAACGCACCCGACAGGGCGCAGCTATCAGAATCAGCCTGCACGTTCGGAGAAAACTCCGCTCTCGACAGTGCCTCCAACTCCTCCTCCGCCTCCACAGCCACTTTCCCAAGAACAATTCCTGAAGCTCCTCTCTCCATCCCAGAAACACTCTCTGTCTGACAGCCGACTTCACAATGAAGGTCCACAGCATCAGTACGAGAAATGTTGGCCTCGGAAAGTGGCGGGCAGGTACAAACACTGTCCGTCTGAGTGCTGGTGTCAACATGACTGTGCAGATTCGTCTGGGTTCTCATGTCAACATAATTTTTCTCCTTTAGCGGCAAATGGGGGGTAGAAAAGGCCAATGCAGCCAACAACTCATCAACCTGTTCAGCTGACTCTGCTGGTACCTCCATCGCAACAGTCTCGTAGTCAACAAGTCCTTCTAGTGACAAGGGAACGGGGGATGCTGATCGGACCCATCTCAGATGGCAGGCCCGAGCTCGACGCATACGCCTTGACGTGAGGCTCCGCACGTGATGCAACAGTCACAATCAAAATCCAATTCAGTCAGAAATGTGGCGACAAAGCACAGAAAATAGAGGAAGGAGCAAGCACAATTGTCACACAATCAATTCAATGTGCAAACCGCACTCGAAAGAGATCACAACAATGATATACTACAAATTGAACAATATGCAATCCACTCAAGGCAGATCCGAAAGAACCGAGACTTACGAGCACCACTCTAGGCAGTGAGGAACAAGTCAGCGTATACAAATTGCCACCACCAAACCGCAACGAGAAATGAATATGAGAGGCCAACAATGACAAGCAAGATGTACAGGGAGATGGGCAGTTGCGTAAGCAGAGCAAAACAACACGCTAGCTCAACGTTCACCTTCGCGGAGGTACCCCAGGCAGGAGAAAATGAACGTTCGCGGAGCCTTGAGCCTTGAGCCTTCAACCTAGCTACCGCCGGGAACCTCGTAGAGCTCTTTTCTTGCACGGCGATCGTCGGAACACATGAGCAAATCTTCTGGAGCGAGAAACGAAAAACTCGAAAACTCACGTTTTTCTGTTTTTATCAAACGTCGTTACCTCCAAGTGTTTTGATGGTAATACTGCACCTACGGACCTAAGAATTTGACTGGCAGAGGCGGCATAACCCACTACAGTTGCGACAAAATCTGGTTTCTCAAAATGAATGGTCAAATATCTTTCAAATCTTAGCAAAACCGAACAAAAGTTAACACTGGGCGCCGGCGGTAAACCGTGAACCTTTCTTACCGCCGGGGGACTCGTAGAGCTTCCTTGCCATATGTTATGTCCACAGAATTGGCAGAGAACGAATAGTTGTTCAGCCTCCGCTGATAGCAGACTCGAATACAGGACTGAGTTCAGAGCTCTAGATGCAACAGACGCACGCGCCTGATGATGCTGAATCGATTGATGTGCGCACGAGCTCTGTGGCCCTCCCACATTTCGAGTTAAGTACAGAAAACCGACAGCATCTGCCAAGATGACTCGAATAATACGAATAGGTTCACGGACCTAGCTCGAGTAGCAGACCGATTTCAGACCTCTTGATGCCATACATAAACGCGCCTGATGATTTCGAATGGGTTGCTGTAAGTATCACTTCTGTAGCTGTCCTACAGCTCGAGTTAAGTCAAGAAAGCCAACAGCATCTGTCAAGATAACTCGAATAATACGAATAGCTTCGTGGACATAGCTCGAGTAGCAGACCGAGTTCAGCCCTCTAGATGCAACAGATGACCGCGCCTGATGATTCTGGATTGGTTTCTGTTAATATCAGCTCTGTAGCTGTCCTACAGCTCGAGTTAAGTACAGAAAACCGACAGCACCTGTCAAGATGATTCGAATAATACGAATATTTTCGCGGACCTAGCTCGGGTAGCAGACCGAGTTCACACCTCTGGATGCAACAGACGAACGCGCCTGATGATTCTAAGAGGGTTCCTGTTAATATCAGCTCTGCAGCTGTCCTAAAGCTCGAGTTATGTACAGAAAACCGTTACCGCGTGTCAAGATCACCCGAAATGGCCGATCCCGCCCCCCTGCATTTTGGCAGTAATATCTACCCGATCGACCTGAGAACAAGATGGCGAGCGGGAATAAGATCAAATATCACGGAAAAAAATACTACAGCTCTAACGAATGGTCGAATGTCGAGAACAAAATTTTCAACCGACCAAAAGTCACCAAAAGGTCCGTCAAGATTTTTGTTGCCAACTAGCTCTCCAGCGCCCCGGAACTGGGATCCGGCGGTAAACCGTCAACCAGGTAACCGCCGGACGCCTCGTAGAGCTCTGTTCTCGCGCGGCGCTGCTCCGAGCACACGAAAAAAACTTTCTCAAGCGTGAAGAAAAAATCGGGGGGGGGGAAAAAAAAAAAAAAAAAAAAAAAACAAAAAAAAAAAAAAAAAAAAAAAAAAAAAAAAAAAAAAAAAAAAAAAAAAAAAAAAAAAAAAAAAAAAAAAAAAAAAACGTTTTTTTTTCATTTTGCATATTCGCTTTGTGGACCTAGCTCGAGTGCCAGACCTCTCGATGCGAGAAAAGAACGTGCCGGGTGATACTGAATCGGTATATATTTGTACCAGCTCTGTAGCTCCTCTAAAACTTCAGTCAAGGGAAACCGACAGCACCTGTCAAGATCACTCGTATAATACGAATAGCTTCGCGGATCTAGCTCGAGTAGCAGACCGAGTTCAGACCTCTCGATGGAACAAACGAACGCGCCTGATAATTCTGAATCAGTTTATCTAAGTATCAGCTCTGTAGCTGTCCTAATTCTCAAGTTAAGTACAGAAAACCGTCAACGCGTGTGAAGATGACTCCAAACGGCCGACGGTTCCCTCAAGTCTTCTCATAGTAATATAGCAGCTACGGACCTAAGAATTTAACTGGCAGACGCGGCATAAGCCACTACAGGTGGAAAAAAAACCGGTTCTCAAAACGAATTTTCAAATTTTGCACAAAGACTGGGATCCCGCGGTAAACCGTCAACCAGGTAACCGCCGGAAGCCTCGTAGAGCTCTGTTCTTGCGCGGCGCTGCTCGGAGCACACGAAAAAAAAAGCTTTCTCAAGCGCGAAGAAAAAGCTCGGGAAATATGTTTTTTTCATGTTGCATCTTTGTTTCGTGGACCTAGCTCGAGTGCAAGACCGAGTTCAGACCTCTCGATGCGAGAAAAGAACGCGCCGGGTGATACTGGATCGGTTTATATGCGCACCAGCTCTGTAGCTTTTCTAAATCTTCAGTTAAGGGAAACCGACAGCACCTGTCAAGATCACTCGTATGATACGAATAGTTTCGCGGATCTAGCTCGAGTAGCGGACCGAGTTCAGACCTCTCGATGGAACCGACGAACGCGCCTGATGATTCTCAATCGGTTTCTGTAAGTATCAGCTCTGTAGCTCTCCTAGATCTCGAGTTAAGTACAGAAAACCGTCAACGCGTGTCAAGATGACTCGAAACGGCCGATTCCCTCAAGTCTTTCGAATATATTGCAGATACAGACCTGAGAATTTAACTGGCAGACGCGGCATAACCCACTACAGGTGGGAAAAATACCAGCTCTCAAAACAAATTTTCTAACTGGGAGCCGGCGGTAAACCGTCAACCAGGTTTGTTTGTTTGTTTGGACTCGCGTTCCCAGCTGGGTGCAGCTGGGCGAGGACCGGTCCCGCAGCAACACACGGGCAGCGCTGAGCAGCGCTTCGGCTGCCGACAATTCACATTCTGTGACTGTCGCTCCTTCGAAGAGCCACGCGGCCTCGGCCACATCCCTCCAAACGAGGGGCACGGCACTAGAAACAGCAAACTCATGCCCAGCAGGGAAGGGGCCCACGGTTCTCGCGGAAGCGATGCCTATCTCACTGGGATTGCACTGAGTATTGATTAAGCCGATCTGAAGCCAGAAACCACATCCTGATCCTTGCTGGTCAACCCCGCCATCAAAGCCTCCCCTGATAGCGAACGGTACAAGATAAGTTTCGAATGGATATAGATAACAATGAGTTCTGTAGAATGTGCGGCCATATCTGGCCTCATGCGTCAATTCATCCGCTCGTGTATTGTCCTCCCTGCATTCGTGTCTCCATATCTCGCGTCCCAAGGCAGCAGGCCTCAAATTGAAACACGCAGCGAGCTCAAAGGTACAATCAATCATGGCAGCTGTCCTCTTGCAGTAGCCCCGATTCTCACATCTCCATTTACCCTGGAGCCAGGAGCAGATAAGTAGTGAGTCGCCCTTGAACTCAGCAGCAAAACCCCCTGACGATATATCCCACACAGTCGCACGTTCCTGGATCATGGCATAACGTATTGCAAGCTTGGCGGACTCTTTGGGGTCATACTTGGGGTGCAGAGGGTTGGTCGCGGTGTCGACCGTCTCAGTATCGGCCTTCTCTCGAGCCTCAGGGGAGCCTCGAGGTCCATTAGGAGAACCCTTCCAAGACACCACAAAGTAATCATAGACCTTAGTTTTGTTGTATTGTATAAGGAGTTGCTTCCATACCTCCAAGAACTGAACCCAATCACCCCGCACAGACTCCCACCACTTTTCCCCAAAGAACTGAATGCATGGGAACTGCCAAGACCGTCCGCCCACAGACACAGGGCCTCCACGAAGCCGTTTGCCCGAACTAGATAAGGCCCTGTTGCCGTGTTGTCGTAGAACCTCTGTTAGTGTGTCGCGAGCCGTGATCCAGCCAACGTTGTACATCATAAGTGCGCGTCGGGAGTCTCGAAAGGCCCTCCTCCCTCTTGAGACGGCAAGTGGCTCGTCTCTGAGAGCATGGGCAGCTCCCTCTCCAGGGGGCATCGGCTGTGAGCGGGCAATGGAACAGGCGACCTGCGTGCATAGATCCTCCAGCCGCCTCCCCATATCCGTAATCCTCTCCTCCACCTCCATCATAGTCGTAGCAGGGACACCCTCCCCCCGTCCCTCCGCAAAGCGAACACGTTTAGCACGTTGAGTCGTTGATCCCTCCACCTCAACCTCCGTCCTTGCCGTCCTGTCCTCCTCCAAAGATAGTAGAGCCTCGAGAGCAGGTTACCGCTCGAGAGCATCCCTCCTCCTCAACCAGGTTACCGCCGCGAGCCTCGTAGAGCTCTTTTCTCGCACGGCGCTGCTCGGAACACGTAGGGGGAGCTTTCTCACACGTGAGATGAAAACTCGTTTTTTTTTGTTTTGTTTTCACCCAAAGAGGATTCCGCCAAGCGTTTTGATAGTAATACTGCAGCTACGGACCTGAGAATTTCACTGGCGGATGCGGCACCACTACAGGTGCGAAAAATACCGGTCTTTTTAAACGAACCTTCAAAAATCGCACAATGTTCGCCGAACCGGCCCAAAGTTCGCACATTGCCCTTCGGGGCCGGTCGGCCAATGGGAACCGGCGGTAAACCGTCAACCAGGTTACCGCCGGGGCCCTCGTAGAGCTCTTTTCTCGCACGGCGCTCCTCGGTAGACATGAAGAAAGCGTC